AACCACAAAGACTGGCAGACCATCGCGTGGGGTTCATCACTTACTGTGGAGTTAAAATCCAGCAAGCCCTCCCCCGGCCTTCCCTTCAGGCACAGCTTCTCAAATCCTCCAGCCCAGGCAGCTTTCCTGCCACACCTGCCCCGGGAGTGCCAGCTCCTAACACAATTCCTACTCAGGAGGTGGCTCAGAATTTCTAGGCAGGGGTGCTTAGGGGTGGCAATTCCTAGAGGGGAGGGAGGGCCACACAGTTTAGGTGTGTACAACATACACACTGATGTGACTTAGAGTGTGTGTTCATCTGAGGTTGCCAGCAATTGACGGACTCTTAGAAATGATTAAGGACCAAGGTCCCCTACAGCCCAGAGACGGTTGTTATAGTGTTTAGGAGCCAGATATTAGTCTCCTCAGCCTGCAAGTCTCCCTACAAGAGCCTGGTTTAGGTGCTCCTTTAAGATGTCAGCTTGTGTTTTGGTTTTCCCTGTACTTCTCTGTCCTTTGTTCCAAAGAGATAAGGGCCCTTCGGATTTCTTTGATTTCTGTGAGGGAGAAATATTTCTTAAAAGAATGCTTTAAGACAACCCCTTGAACTGTCTTTCATCCACGGCTCAAAGAGATAATATCAGGTATTCCTCAACTGCCACTGAAGAGAAAAGGGAAAACATAGGGACGGCAAAGAGAGATGGAGCCTGTGCCAGGTGGGACGGGACCTCTGATTGGGGGACTGCTGCCTGAGCTGTGGGAATTGAGACCCCCTCCCTGGCACTGCCAGGGGGTAGTGGCTGCACTGTGCACTGGGCATGCCCAACCCTGGGCACTAGTTCTGCCAGCCTGGGCAAAGATTCGTGGGCCTTGAGGTAGAAGTAATAACATTCAAATCGGAGGCCTGTGAGGCATTGGACAAGGAAGAGAAAGTGTGACAGGTGGGCTAAGTATGAGAGATGCTGCCTTTCCTTGTTTCCTGAGCTCTAAGAAGCAAGTCTCTGGGGCTCTTGAGTGACCTTGGGGAATGGAAGGCAGCCTCAATAACCAAGGAGATTAAATTCTCTGCCAGCTGGTCAGGACAGGGCTCTGAGTTGGATTTAGACTGGTTTCCATTTTTCAAAAACAGGACATCTTTTGTCTACCTGGGTTTGTGGAGGAAGATTCCTACCTCCGGAACACTGCATTGGCTGTTCCAGAATGCATCCTGAGCCAGGTAAATGTGAGCCAGGTAAATGTGAGCCAGGTAAATGTGAGCCCTACAATCGACTTCCTTTATGCCCCTCATGGAAAAAGCTGAGGAGACCACCTTGATTGACTCTGGTTTTAGCGGTCCTCTTTACCAGGTTGTGGTGGATTGTCAGTTCCTTGAACACACAAGCCCCAGCAACCCCACTGTGATTCCCCATCACAGGTGATTTCTCTGAGCAGAGCCCCCGCTTCCGACTGCTCTGGGAGTGGCACACTGGTGCAGCCCCTGCCTAGACCCCTTTTGTATATAAGCACCCTCTGTGCCACTCCTCTTCCTAGAACTGGTCTGAAAACTTTCTTCCCATGACCATTCTTCATAGGAAATAGCATACTAAAAAGAGACAGGAATTGAGAGCAGAAAACTCATGACTTTCCTACTAGAGCTGAGGCAATCTGCTTCGCTGGTGGTATCTCAGTGTAAAATGGAAATAAGAGCTGTTTCCCAGCAAAGGAAGTGCCAGGTAAGTGGCAAAATGCTTTACTGCTATAAGAGGTTCTTAAATGCAAGAGACCTCGTTTCCCCCTTCTCCCCTAAGACCTTCCTTTAGAGATCCAAACCTGGAACTTCAGAGTATGTGACTGTTTTCTCTCTTTATCTGGACAACACAAGGGCCAGAGCTTTGCATACTGAGATCTCTGATTCACATTAGACTAAACACAGAATCCATTACATAAAAAGGGTTGTGTGGCCCTTAATTCCACATGTATACCACGGTGAATGCAGCAACGGGGTTAAGACTTGGCTCTGCCCTAACTCTCCAAGTTCTAGCAAGTCACTCCATCTCTTTTGAAAGTATACTGAACAAGAAAACAGCAGATTTGTTTCTGGTCCTGATTCTTTCACTTACTGGGTGTCATTTAACCTCAGGCAAAGTTTTTCCCAACTGTGGAATAAAGGGGTCAAAATGAAGAACATGAAGAGAGCTTCCAACTCTGAGGCCTCAGTTTCCCTGCCAGTACAGAGGGAGGTTAACATAGTCCTGACAGCCCCCCCACCCCTGCATGGGAGGGGGCGTTGCAGAGCTGAGTAGAGCTAGCGTCTGACCTTACCTGCCCCTCGGAGTCTTTCAGAGAGCCCTTCGAGGCCTCTATTCCTCTCAGCCTGTGGGGCCCAGGGGACATAAGGTATATGGAGAAACTGAAGAGGCTAGGGGTGTAGGGATGCCCAGTTGGCCCTACTCTGTCCCAGCCCACCTGGAGAGCCCCAGTGAGCTCACGTCTGCAGTAACCTCGCTGCTCATAATCATGATGATGAGACAAACCTGGAAGCCAGGCACAGGTGAGAAGTGATGGCTGTCTGCTCAGGAATGTGCTGCCCAATTAAAACTGCCTCCCAGATGGCTCAGGAGGATGCTGGGACTACTTCCTCGGGCAGCACTGGCCAGCCTCCAGGCTGAGTCATCCTGCAAGCATTTCTTGAAGGCCTACTATGCGCCAGGCATCAAGTCAGGTGCTGGGGAGACAAGGAGGTATAAGAGCCACACTAGAGAGTACAGTCCATCTGTCCCAGACACACTTTCAAACACAGATTGTCAGAAAGCCCAAGGGTTCTGCTTGTTAAGCTCCCAGCCCCCTTTACCATCCTCACCAACCCAAACCCTGCCTTTTCCTCCCCACAAGCCCCAGCCCTTAGCTTCTTTCCCTTCTTTTCAAAGTATTCACAGCCCTCTGGCCTCTTCCTCTTAAGCTGGTATGAATCAGGCTGCTGCCTGCTCACCTTCTCTGCTTCTGGGACAGCCTGGACAACCCTCTGTAATGTCCATCTGTAGTACGGACATTAGGTTTATTGTACCCTGTCCCTGGCAGTGTTCCAGCAGAGGCCACAAAGTGAGGTGATACCCATGCGACTAAAGGATGGGCTCATTCCCCATTTTCCCCAGGTGAATTCCCTGCCAGAACTGAGTCCTCAGACAAGAACTTGAACTTGAGAGACAGATCTCAGACAGATAAGGGGCCTCCCCATCTCCAAGGGCATGTGCCCAAGGGCAGACTTTAGAAGAGGATAGAAGCCTAAGTGTGGTCTACACGGTGTGTGGTTAAAGCAGTCAGATTGCTTGCGTTAAAATCCAGGCTTTCCCCTTTACTAGCTCTGTATCTGTATCTTTTAAGATAGCATCCCACTGTGAGAGACAACCAAAACCCCACAGTTTTGAGGAGTTGTTATTTTCTCATGTAATGAGAAATCAGAAGATAGTTACCAGGGCCTGAATGTAGCTCCAAAGGTTATCAGAGTCCCAGGTTCCTTTTACCCTTCTACCCAGCCTTTCTTAGCATGAACTTTTTGCTTCATGGTCACAATATGGCTGCCCCACCTCCAACAAGTCCAAATTTTAAACAGGAAGTAGAAGGTCAAAGTACCAATTGAGTCTCAATTCCTTTTAACAAGCTTTCCTGGAAGTCCCACACAACCTCTGCTTATATCTCATTGGCTCGAATTGTCACATGGCAAGAAAGTCTGGGAAATACATTTTTATGTGAGCATATTGCCACCTCCAACAAAATCAGATTTAGATAAATAAGGAATATAAACTGGTATAGTGCTTGCAAGGAGAAAGGTGAAGACTAGATTTTAGGAAGGAAGTGTGGGCAGAAGTGGAAAAAGAGTTGCAATGGATCCTTGTTGGTTCTAACAAAGGTTTCTTGCTTGACCAAACTTTAGTCAGGCTCCTGAACCTTCTCCTAGGCCCCTCTGTATACTTTTTATAAAATCCAGTTTTAGCAAGAACACTGCTAAGTCAGCTTAGCAAGAACCCCCAACCCTCAATATCTGATCACCCTCAAATCTGATAGGTTCTTCATCCTCCACTATCCCCCAAGTGATATCTGATCACTTTGGCCTGTCTTCAGCAAAAATTCTGTTAGGTCGGTTTAGCCAGAATTCCCCTTATTCCTAATGTTTTCTCTTAGTAATTTTCCATCTGACCCTTACTCTGCCCTGTTTCTATAAATTCCTACTTGCCCATGTTATATTCAGAGCTGGGCCCAATCTCTCTCTCCCACTGCAAAACCCCACTGCAGCAGTCCCTACCCCTATCACCATGGCCCTCTTGAATAAGGTTTGCCTTTCTGTCTTCAACTGTCATTCAATATTTTTTTTCTTTAGCACTTCTTACTCTAAAAACTCATGGGGATGCTCATGACCAGCAGTTAGGCAGGTGGCTAGACAGATTCTGGAGCATCAGCCTTCCCCACAGGAGAATAAGGAAAGAGACGGAGGGGGCAGAGACCTCACTCTCCATTGCCAAGCAGGCCCCTCATTCACTCAGTTCAGAATCTCTCCTCTCCCCCAGCATCATTTTTAGTGATTTCACCTGCTTAATGTTCACCCCCACTTCCTTCCGCTGCGGGCTAAGCTCAACGTGGCAGTACCCACAGAGAAACGCACCCTTTAAAATGTCATCTAATCCTTTACGTGCTTGCCTTTTGTGTGGTGTGGCGGGCTGGGGAAGGGGAGATCCTAAAGCAGGATGAAGGCGGGTTCAGTGTCTTCTGCATCTTTGTATTTTCAGCGTCTACACAGCCCCTGTGCTCAAAGAATAGATGACAATGGTTTTGGCCGCCAGGGGCTTCTTCCTCCTCCCGCCGCAGAGAAACATTCTGCTCAGGAAGCCTCACTCGAGCCTTTCCCAGCATTTCTGGGGAATGGCTGGGCATCACCCTCTCTCCAAGTCCACCCTCCCTAGGCCGCGTAGGCGCGGCTTTCCCTCGCACTCTGCCGCCCTCTAGCGGCGCCGACTGCTGGGCCCCCCAAAGAGCGCAAGCGCGTGCGCACGCGGCCGTCTCTGGCTCGCTTGCCATTCGGCGCGTGCGCATCGAGTGTGTGCAGCTCTGACGACCCGACAGGTAAACAAGCTGAAGCCGGCGGGTGGCTTGAGGAACGGTCCGGAAAGGAGCTGCTGGGAGTTCGCGCCTTGCAGGTAGGTCCGTCGATTCCGGCTTTTGCTTCTGACTCTGGTGGGCTCGCAGCGTCCCATTTTTGTCAGGGGGCGTGACCTGAATCTGCCTCCCCGGCCCGGGAGTCGGGGTGGGAGGGTCTTTAAGGCCTGTTATTAATTTGGTGTGTGTTATTTGTTCAGGAAGCTTTTCTTGAGGAGGGCGCAGAGTTTGCAAATAGTGGACGGGAAGGGCGAGATGGGACCAGGTGGGAGCTGGGGTGCCCGAGTCCCAGGGCTGTTAGGAGCTGGGCAGGTTGGCGGAAGCGGACTCCGTTCCTCCGGCTGTATGGGAGGTGGGGGGAGCAGTGCTACAAAATGAAGACCTGGTAGAAATTGTGTAGGTGTTTAAGATCACACTCAGGATGGCAATTTGGTCGTTTTTGTGTTTTCACTTTTCTCACTGATACCATTTCTTCTCTCCTGGCGCAGTGTGGCCACTAACATGCACTAACTTGGCTCTGCATTCTAGGACATGACACTGGTGGCACATCCCGGCCATGGGATCCCAGCATTCCACCTCTGCTCATCTCTCTTCCTACAAGCGGAAGAAAGAAGATGACAGGGAGGATTTGCTGGATGAACGGGAGCAGGAGGAAGCCATTGCCCAATTCCCATATGTGGAGTTCACTGGGCGGGACAGCATCACTTGTCTCACATGCCAAGGGACAGGCTACATTCCAACAGGTGAGAATCTTTGATCATGGCAAGGATGATTCCCCAATAAGAATCCCGCGATACCCACAGAGCTTCTCCTGTCTCCCATATAGAGCTTTTATTCTAGTCAGTAATATCAATTATAAACCGTGCCCTGAACAGGAGCCAGCACAGCTGACTTGATAAACTTGGGCAGGTCTCACAACTTCTCTTGGTTTCCTTATATTTGAAAGCCTTTCTTTTCCTCACTTTTACTTTTGTTCTATGTTTCCTTGGTTTTGAACATTTGGTTTTGTTAAAGAACAAAAATTCAGTCTACTACATTTGAAGATCTAATTGACTCTAGACTGATTAAGATTATATTCCTGGAGAAACTGCAGTTAGGTCAAGTATTAAGCCTAGATTCACTGTCATGGGCTTTGGCACAAGTGACTCCATTTGAAACCTGTGGTTTCCTCCTTAACAGTTTGCTGTACATTGTGGGATTTGTTGACAGGTACGTTTCTTTATTGGTCTCACTCATAAGGCCTGGCTTGGCTTTGCTTGGCAGTGAGTGAACCGGAGGATCAGGGTAAAGACAACTTGGAAGCTTCTGTTCAAGGAAGCAGATCGTGACTCATTAACCTAAGGTCTGAAAAATATGTCAAGTAGGGAGGAAAAACAAATCCTCAGGAGTGGAGCCTAGATTAGATGCAGGATTGTCTATCACGAAGTCGACCCTCAGAAAGTTGTAACAGTTTAAATAGTCACAAAGGTTTAGAGCTAGTGATAACTATTCACTCTGAAGCCTTCATATTAGAAATGAGAAGACAGTGTCCTAGAGAGGTAATGACTTCCCCGAGTTCATGCAGGAAAGCCAGAACAAGATCCTAGATTTCTCAACTTCCATATCACTGCCCTGGCAGCACTGGTAGATGTTTTGTAATTTGTGGTACTCTCTAGATTTACTTGTTTTTTGCTCATTAGACCCAAAATATGAAACTAGTATCTTAGAAATGTCTAATTCCAGACTAGTATATGTTGTGGCAGGCTGATGTGTGATGTGAAGGAAAGTACTGCCAACACATGGGACTTATTTTACCAAATTATTGTTTGGTCTTTTCTAGAGCAAGTAAATGAGTTGGTGGCTTTGATCCCACACAGCGATCAGAGATTGCGCCCTCAGAGAACGTGAGTTACTTGTCTTTCTCCTGTTAATACCCGCTTCTATCCCTAGTCTCTTTTTATATGTATGAATGCCAGTTAACTTTCTGAAAACTTATCTGTTCTTATAAATTCCTCTATTTCCTTTAATACTGTTTGCTCCAGCAAAATGCACTGCCCCCGTCACCATCTGGGGTAGGAAACGTGAAGCTAAAAACATTCTCAGGGCCAAGTGAAGGAACTGAATTAGAAGGAATTGGAGAAGAGGGGTGTCTTGGGAAGTTAGGAAATATTTCTGTCCACACAGCTCCTCTGTTCAGCTTCTCTTCCCAGATTGCAAACAGCATTCTGATGGATTTAAAAAGCTTCTCCCACTCCACTCATTCTTGCCTGGTTTGTGGTTCCTAGCCCTTTTTACTTTCTTGTCCCTCCCACCTCATTCCAGGTTTTGCATTTAATCTTAAGCAATAGACCTTGATATCTGACTGCCTAAGTCGGTCACATGTTGTGTCATTTGCAGTAAGCAGTATGTCCTCCTGTCTGTTCTGCTCTGTCTCCTGGCATCTGGTTTGGTGGTTTTCTTCCTGTTTCCACATTCAGTCCTTGTGGATGATGGTGGCATCAGAGTGGTGAAAGTCACATTTAATAAGCAGGACTCCCTTGTAATTCTCGCCATCAAGGTAAGACTTAGGCCCTCCCTTCTGGGTTGTGCACCTGCAAGTCTTGGACCCAGGACACTTACACTCGTTTCCTTCCTTGCCCTAACGGATGCAGGCCACCCTGAAAATCAGGAACTCCAACTTCTACCCTGTGGCAGTGACCAGCCTGTCCAGCCAGGTTCAGTACATGAACACAGTGGTTGGGTCGTATACGACAGCTAACGTCTCCCTCATTCCACCCCGGAGCGAGCAGCTGGTATGCTGTTCTTTTGGGATCCTTGCCCCACAGGCCTGAGAGAAGAGAGGGTGTAGGAAAATGCCATAGCCACATTGCTTTCCTTTTCCTCTCCTTTCCGCTTGTAGGAACTGGTTGATGAAAAAGAGCTGATGGGTTCTGTAATTATGAAAAATTAAGGAAAATATCAGCTAGCATTTAAGTATTAGGGGAGCAAAAGAATTTGTAAAAGAAAGCAATTTGCTACAAATCAAGAAGAGGCAGAATGATAGTCTGAGGTCCACTGGCCTCTCAAAAGAGAAGCAGTCGGAAGCATTTGTTAGAGGCTCATAGTCTGTATGAGGGACGATCTTGGGGGGATATTTTGTATGTGATGGAAAGACGCTCCCATGTCTTTAGACATTAATAATGGCATTGTTCTGTGTCAGTACTGCTTGGACAGAGACTGACTCTGGTGTCTTCTTTTCAGGTGAATTTTATGGAGCAGGCCGAGATGGGAGGACCATTTTCCTATGTGTAGTAAGGATGGTGTTCTCTCTTTGTGTGCTCTCTACTAGATAAAAGGAATGCAGAGTTATACTCAGTAAACTGGGGCTGGTCCTGCCTTTGACCTGTAGGTTCGCTAGCCTTGGCCATCTTGAGGTTTATTTGGAGGACGTGTTTTTTGATATTTGACCAAAGTGCTACAGTTTTTAAAAGAGAACATTAAGCCACTAGAAACAGTTCCAAGCCTCAGCATTTATATGATGGGTTTGAAAAAACAAAAAGTATCATGATGTGAGAGGAGAAAGGACATTGCAGGGACTCTGAACTGGTGAGCCATGGCCGCGCTGAGGTCAGGAGGGTGGGTGTGGGGAAGGGGAGGCGCCCCAAACAGGGCCGACTGCACCTCAGTTTAACAGTTTTTGGCACTCTGCTGATTCTCCTTTTTTGAGCCAAACTGACCATTTCCATATTTGCTCTTCGGTAGCTTCCTCTGCACATTGCCCGATATCCAGGTTCACAACATAGTGATCTTCATGAGGTACGTCACGTTCCCTGTTCCATGGCCTTTGTTTTTGAGCATGGACCGTCAGGCTGTGCCAGCTCACCACCTGTGCTTGGGAGATCCTGTGTGACCCACAGGCAGAGGTGCCCAGCCAAAGAGGGGACACCCCGATGCCTTACAGGCACAGATACAGTGAACTCTTGGTGTCCTCCAGATGCACTGTCCAAAGCCCCTTCACAAATCACCAGACTCACAGTGAACAGTTAGACATATATATAATTTTCTTTATGAAATGGTGTCTAGTTTTGTGATCCCTTTAGAATCCTAATGAGACTAGTAAAGAACAGAAAAGGCTTCTCAATGTGTAAAGTACTGGACATTTAGACAAACTTACTCTCTAGTCACACACATTACCACATGTCACGGACCTTTGGGGGTATTCCTTGAACCAGGACTGTTAAATGTGCAGGTCTGCTGCAGACATTCGAAATAAGTGTGTTTAGAGCAAGGTTTCCCAGCTTCAGCACTATTGACATTTTGGGCCAGACAGTTATTTGTTGTAGGGGGCTGTCCTGTGCATTGTAGGATGTTTAACAGTATCCCTGGCCTCTACCCACTAGATGCCAGTAATACTCACCACCTCCTCCCCGCTCGGTCGTAACAACCCAGAATGTCTCCAGACATTGCCCAAGTCTCCTGTGGGGAAAAAAATCATCCCCATTTGAGAACCACTTCTTTAGAACGTCATCTCATAGCACAGCATCTTTGTGGATATAGAAAGATCCTCTGGCCTCTTGGTTATGTAACCATGAAGATATTCTTCTGGGACCCATGGATATTGTTGCCTGAGCTTGCAAGAAATTATGTGGACAGTTTTTCTTATTTCATCTCAAAAACAGAAATAATTCTTGGTTTCTTTTTCCTAGAACTTCAGTGAAGATTTCATACATTGGCCATGTGACTCAGAGCTCCTTGGAGACACATCACTATGTGGATTGTGGAGCAAATTCCACAGCTGTTTAGAAACTTCTCTTGATTCTTCCATGACAGCAGCTGTCAGAAGAGACACAGCATCTGTTCCCAGGAATTCCATACCTGCCCCAGGTGGTAGAAGTAGAGAAGAAACTGGTTCTCTTAATCCCCGCAAACTTCCTCCTGCCACTTGGGAGGAAAACTCCTTTCTGTGGCACCATTTATGTTTCTTCAAACAGCAGAATCACTGCCCAATGCCCAGCCTATGCCCAGCAAATAGTAGGCACTCAAAGGTTTGAAGAATTTAATTCAGATCTTTTCAGCTGTTTTGGAGCATTATAAATTGAAAGCATACCATGGTTTGAGGTTGTCAAACCATAGAGCAAGCGACTTAAAGATAGAACTATTAGTGGAGCTGCACAGCTATTACCAGGGCCTCATCTGCACAGAAGAGGCAGCAGAGAGAGAACATTCAAACACATAGAAGAAAGCACAGACTATTCAATACGTGAAAATTTTTCATCTGCTCCTAAATGCCTAGGAACTTTTTTTAAAAACAAAACTGTTTTTCCTGTATAAAGTTATAATTGTTTTTACCAAGAGTCTGTGTGAGGCTTGATTTACCCTTCATCCGTTGGCTAGAACATGGATTAGGGATTTGATAGAATAATAAACCCTGCTTTTAATTCATATGTGTCTCCTTTGCTTGCCCGGAGGTCTTAGTAGGCACCCGTGGGGGACCATAGGATAGTTGCCTGAGGTCAGCACAGGGTGGGAAGGGAAGAGAAAGAGCACTGATTGTACTGTTCCCAGAAGCTCCTGTCACAGAAAGCAACCTCACTTTTCACCATCTGCCTCCGATGGTGACAGGCTGCCCCATTGCTCTTCCAGAACAGAGCGTTTAATGCCCCCTGGAGGTTGGAAGAGGTAGAGCCAGGGGCGCCTGAGGAGTGAGAAGCTGCTTCCTGAGGATTAACTTACCCCAACCAACTGGCTGTAGCGCTGATTAAGAGGGCCTGGTTTGACGTTGAAAGTTGCTTCAAATGTCTCCACGCTCTCAGTCACCAAAAAGCAGGCTACAGCCCCGCAATGGCAGAGAATCTAATTGAGAAGCTTGAGTAGTCGGGTTTCAGAACTTGGCTGAGGTAGCCTTGGGAAACCCTAACAGCAACAGATGGGAGTGGGGGGTCTATAGTAGTCATTCCCATAGCTCAATCTTAAATATTAATAATTTTGACACTGAATCTTTATTGAAGTCTAAATTTCATGACTCATTTGGCTGATACTGACCATGATTGAGTAACCTAAAAGCTGAGGGCTAAAAGCTGAGTTTCAGCGTTGCACTGGGTCCTTTAATGCTCTGTAGGAACAGGATAGTGATGACTGTATATTGATAATGGAACGCGACTTGTATAGAAGCAAAGGTACACCATTTCTCAGAACATCACCCTAAACACAGCATGCCCTAAATACATGAAGTTGTCCACATTGCTACCTCTTCTCTTTAGCTATCCCGTTTTCCCAATAGCCTCTAGCTATTTTTAATAATTTTAGTAATTTTAAAATTAAGTTTTAATAATTTCATGACTCTGCCCCAATGGCATTTCCTACTTCTCAATATTACCTTTAAATCTAGCCATGATACTCAAAGTACTTGTTTTAAACATAGAGCAACAAATCTGACCTCATAATGCTATGAATTCTCATACCTATTTATATCCTTAGCATCCCAAACTGCACCTTAAGATGCTCTGCATAGTTATGTCATGCCGTCTATCAGTTCTTGAAGAGATGCATAGAACTGCTCTCAGCAACACTCAAATAGGGGAAGTGGCCAGCCCAGGTGTCATTGCCATCATCATTGTATTTCTAGTGGATTGAGATTTGGAAAGAATGTGTTTCTTTGAGACGAGGCTTCACCAGAGATCTTTTCTCTCAAGCTTCTGCCTTGGCCTCTACAGTGACCTTTTCTTGCTCTCAAACTGCTTACCCTGGGTCACCTGGTTGAAATCTCCATTTTTCCATTTTCTCATTCCATATTGAGCAACTGCTGTGTGCTAAAAATTGCATTTTCTGATGCGTTTTGTCCAGAGTCATAGCTTGAAGTTTAAAACACCATCACAAGACATACTCACCAGGTTCCGTCCAGGCCACAATTTACCTCCACTGTCTCTTCTGCAACTCTCGTTATCCTAAAGCGGGATCCCTGCAATCTCTGGGTCAACTGTCTAGGGATTCTAGCCCCAAATGTGAAACAACTAATAGAATCAGCCTATTCCTAAGTATTTCTTCTGGGCAAAAATAATCTCTGTTCTTTGCCCTTATAAGTAAGATTCTTCACCTCAAGAGCGCTGTGTGTTCCTTCACTTGTTTAGAAGGGGAAACGATTTCAGAAGTTGTTCTGTGATTTACCAGGAAACAGGAAACTTGAGTAAGTCTTAGCTGGAGCTCAGACTCCTGACTCTTAGTTAAAAGCCTTTGGACGTTTTCATAGAGCTGAAGACGCTCAAGAGAGCCCTTACAATTAAGCTAGTTCTGTCTGCTCCATCCTGCTGGGATCAGGAATTTATCTGAGAGGTTATTCTGACTGGAGAGACCTACCTTTCCTGGGACATCAGGGATCACAGGAATTCGTAATGAACCTAGTTACTCTCACCTTCCCCTCTGGGCCAGGTTGAGACAAGGAAGTAGCAATAAGTAGCACAGCACTGCCAGCCAGGGTGTGCATTTCGATTTGACCACAGAGGCAGGGCCTTCTGTTCCACTTGTTTCTCTTCCTTTGAGCTCTACCTCTGGTTCACATGATTACTAAGCTGCGGTTGCTATAATTTCTAGGTTTTACCAGGAACCCAAGAAGTGGGTAGCCTGCAAGGGATCACCTTGATATCCTGGTGCAAATGGGACTTCTCTTACAAAGATCTAAGCTGCTGGCCACAATCTACTGAACTGCTTTAGTAAGAAAAAGTAGCTCCGACGCCAGAGTGTGACGTGAAGCGAGATTGGAAGCAGGATGGGCTCTTGGAGTGTGGTTGACAGATTAGAACTCAACTCTTCAGCTCCACCTATTGTCTAAGGAAACGCTTTCACAAGCACCTGCACTGTTCTCCCCCGGCCCCCATCAGCTCTCTTGGTAGATGGACGTGTTGTTTTAAATTATGAGATAGCTGCTCTAATTATGCATTCTTACGTTTTCATTTTTACTTTTAGTTCGTCATGAACTAGCCCTCTTCCAGTGGAGAAGGTGACCGCTTCCTCGTTTCTGCCACGCATACATAAGGCATTGGAAAGGAAGGGATGCCCGATGGTAGGGAGAAATGAGAGGCTGTCCATTCATAAGCCTGGTGTTGAGAGGAAGTCCATGGAAGTTTTAAGTGCAAGCCCAGGAAGTGTAGAATAGGAACCAGAAGGACAGGGGCAGGAAAGAGGAATAAGGGGTACAGTAAGCGTTTAACACTCCCACCTCTCTTGACCTAAAAGTCTTAGAGAAAGATACAAAAAAGTAGATCACCAAGTTTGTCTGATTGTGTACACTCAGCACAGGCCCCTGCAGTTCACTCCCCTCCTCTCCTCTTCCCATCCCAAGACCCCTCCTCCCTCAGGAGGGACTCCAATCTCTCCCACCCAGCAAGATGTGGCCCACACGATGTCCCATCCCCTGAGCTCAGAGCTATCACTTGTCTTGCACTAATTTGCCCTGGAGTCGTGTTCTGTGTTTATTCTCAAGAATAAGGCCATCTCTCTTTTGTGCCTCCCTTCCCAAATCTTGATCTCTGGTCCCAGTTTACCCCTGGGTTCTGCACAGTGCCAAGGTTTACAAAAAGAGGTAAGTTTGTTTTTGTGTAAAATCACTAAACCAGTTAGTGTGGCTTCAGTGTCCTCCCTTTTGGCTGAAAAGTCAACAGAAATAGGCCTTAGAGTGGCCATTTGGTCATGCCTACAGAATCAAGCACTAATGGAAAATAAAGAACAAAGCCCAAGTCAATGTTTCTTTCCAATAATTTTTTTTGTTTTTAATATCAATTGATGTTTTAAAAAATACAGAGGTGTTTGACACAGAATAGCACCATCGTGTAGGACACACACAGTTCCTGCGCCCGGCACCTGAAGGGGGTTCTTCTTGCCTGGGCTGGGGGGGCAGTCACTCAGGGGGCGTTTGACTCACACCAGTTAGTTTCCTGCTTCTGCCTTGACCCAAAGGTCTTACAGGAAGACAATAAATAAATAGAACACCGAGATTTTATTTTGCAGTCTGCCCAGTTCAGGTCTCTTAGAAAGAGAGGGGAGAAATGTCCAAACTGTGAAAGGGTGGGATGAATGGACATCAGGTCAGGTCAGCCATTCAGTGCAGAGTCCTAGAGTGACTGGGATTGGGAAATACTTGGGTCCTTTGGGTTTGCAATGGATTGTGTTGTTTCTGGGTTCAGGTTTTTACAAGAAGCAGACAGGCCCTATGTCCACACCAAATTCCTGCTCGGGCCCTCCTATGTCCATGGGTGCAATGTCAATGATGGGCAGGCGCGAGGTCTTCTGTGACCGGTACTCGATCATAGTCTTGCCCCACTTACCGGTGTGTTTCTAGGGGAGAAAGAGAGGAGACATTACTCAGTGGGTGCCTTGCAATCCAATACCAGCTGCCCAGGACCACAAAACTGAGCATCATAGAACACAAAGTGCAAACCACACTCGGGGCTCCTTAGACCTCTTCTTGGCTGGCCAGAGCCCTCTCCACCTCCACCCCTGTCCTTAGTAGCAGGGCCTCCTTTACTCCGCCCTTCTCCTCCTTCCCACTCCCCACAGTAAGCTCCCCACCTGTGAACCCCTTGTCACTCCATCTCACAGGCAGCCCTTACACGTTATACAAATCCTCTTACAAGAGTCACTGGAAACACTGGCTAAGGTCTTATTTCCCTTGAGCCAAGGGAGTGAGGGAGACAGAACAACTTGCTCCTCTCCCTTACCTGTCACTCTGCATGTTTTCTCTGTATAACCCCTCACACTCACGCCTCTAATGAGCTTGTCACTTTAGGACCATGGCACTACTGGGGACCAACCCTCCACCTGCTCCAGCCCAAGCCCCCAGCCATAGGCAACTTTTCTCTCTGGAAGCTCTAGCCAGCTCCACTCACCGTGCAGCCATCCTTCAGGACAGTATACGTGAACCTGCTGTTGCCCTCAGCCCGGATCTCCACGTCGTTGGAGCCCTGGATGAGCAAGGCCTTCTTGAGGTTGCCAGCTGCTTCATCCAGGTAGGCGATGCTGTTCTTGCAATGGTAGGTGATGTTCTGGGAGCCCTCGGTGGACAGCAGGCGCAGGAAGGTCATCTGAACGTTGGCAGTGTTGGGAGCCAGGTTGTCATCTCCATAGCTGAACTGTTAGGGCAGACAGTGGTGGTATGAGGCCCGGGAGTGAGTGGCATTCAGTGGGACCATGAGCTTCAGGGGCTGCTAAGTGTCCAGGGTTCAGAGGAACTAAAGGGGACTGGGAGAGTGGGTCACTGGGAGGACGTGTTTGCTTCCAGAGAGTAGAGCAAGCCTCCGAGGACCTCTTCCTGCACTTCTAAATGGGAGAAACTACTATTTCTCCTCTTTCCTTCCTCTTCAGCCCCAAAGAAAACTGGTAAGAATGTGGGCAAGGTGCTAAAAACTTCCAGGGAAAAAAGAAAAGGATTTGAGGAGCCATCTCTGGCCTAG